ATATTTTAAATTTTAATAAATTAAATTCATAATATTTTATTTTTAAATTTAACAAATTTATTACAAGTGATATTAAAATATTTAAAAAGAAAAAGAAATAAAATAATAATTTTGTAAGTTATTTTTCTGTTAAAAAATCTTATTAAATTTAATTAAGAGAATTTTCTTTATTTTTAATTTTTTTTTCTTTAAGTGAATGTTTATAAATCATTGGCTTTTAATAAAATTTTTATCCATTAAAAAATATGTAATTAATTTAATTAGCGCTGATTTATGCCGTTGAAATGGTAGCTTATTACATAAAAATGTAATTTAAAATGTATGTAAAACTTAAGATTAGATATGCATACACATGTACTGTACAGTACAAATGCGTGTGTCAGTATGTGTTTGTATGTATATAAAAGTACAGTACATACATACAGAACCGTGAATAGGGCCCAAAGTGGTTCCTACCCCTGTAAATTAACGCTATTTTTACTTTGTTTTTTTTAATAATAAACAAACATTCTATACGTATTTCATTTGTTCAATAAAAGGCAAAAGGGGCCCGCTGTATGTATGGAGATCCCAGGACTCCATGCATACTTAAAGCTTAGTATTGGAATTCCCCGTACTAAACTTTCGATGGCTCCATATATATATATATGTATATACTGTGTATCCCTATTCAACGCTGTCTGAAAAGATATGGCCATTGGCCAAGCGGTCTTCGTTCCCTGAACACTGGGAGTTCGATTCGTGGGTTCCCGCCTGGCTCGGACGGGTTGGCCACGTAGAGTTTTCTGTGTTTTCTCTGCATCTGTAACGCCTAAATAAGAGCCAGTTTCCCTTAAAAAGATCTCCCGGAAGGCATTCGTCCTAGGTAGATCGCCCAAGTGTTGCGTTGCCATAACTAAACAAACAAACTGAAGAGATGTTTAGCATGCCAAATGCGATCAAATTTGGCATGGTGATATTTCAGGACATGCAGAAAATATTTGCATTAAAAAATAATCAGCACTGATACTTGGCACTGCAAACAACAAACGTTTTACTTGTACAAGACACCTATTGCACACAGACTTGAGCGGTGCAGGGGCAACTGCTCAATGTGGTCCTCATTCTGAAGATATAAAAGCTGAATACAGTGTGATACTGTCTTCCAAGATTATCGAATTTGTAATATGTCCTCGAAAAACCACACTTTAAATGTCCATATAATTAAAAATTGCACAAATTAAGATCCTGAGAACAAGGTGTCCAGGCTGTAATAAATGCAAGATTAATCACTCTATTATTGATAAAGAGTTGCTGCAGAAACTGCTGTACGCAGTATGCAATATGTGGAAGTGCTCCATCTTGCATGAAAATGGTTAAAGAGCATTACTCTGTTGCAAAAGTGTTGAGCATCTGTTGGTACTTCTGGGCCAACACAGAGCGTGTCACAGGCCTACTGGAACTTTTCTTTGAAAAATAATGATACAGATGGTTGTAAATCTACACCAGACTATAACTTTAGACGAAGGCAGTATAATCTGCTGGAAAGCGTGAGTATTTTCTAGGATCGAAATGCTCATTGCTCCGTCGAAGTGAAAATGTGCCACGTGGCTTCAAACGATCTTCCATGGCCATACTTTCGCTTCCATTCTGGCAAGGAAGCTCAATGCAAAAATCAGTCGAGTTTCTCTAACGGCGTCTAGTAAATGTTGGTTGTGGCTGATCTTACACGCAATGCACCAACTTTCTCGGTAACTTCCACGCTGTACCACAGGGTGCATCCAATTGCAAGTGCACTACTGGAGCTTGCAACATTGTTTGTCGACTGTTCGAGAACAGCTGTAGTAACATCTTCAACAGCTTGTAAATTGATAGGTTAGCGCCCTCGACCGGACTGAACTCCCGGGCGTCCAGTTTTCTCGAATCGAGTGATCGTTCTCTTAAGAGCTCGTGCAATCAATGGTCCTAGTCATAAACTCTTACGACGAAGAAATTCTCGAAGTGAAGCAGCAGCAGCAGCATTGCTGTTATTTAAGCAACTTCTATACTCAGAACTTGGCTGCAACACGTGTGCCTATACAAATGAAAATACTTTATCTTTGCTTGCAGCGCCAAAAGTGCCATTTGGCACTAATTTTTTTTTTTTTACGGAAATGTCTTCACGTGTCCCGAAATGTCACCAAACCAAGTCTTATTGCATTTGCATCGATAGATATCTCTCTAAAGGATACCAATATCTTAAATAGCGCCACCCTCGTAAAGCACCGATGAATATTAAATACAGAACCATTCAGTACGCTTGGGCACAATTTTACAGAGTAAAATACATCACAATTACCAAACAACGTGACTTTCAAACTCCCAAAAAATAATAAATACAATGCTTATTGTTGGAAACACCTCGGTTTAGCGCCACACTCGACTTAATGCCCATTTCAGAGTTAAACAAAATGGTACTAAATCGAGGTTTGACTTCAATATATAAAATATATATAACTTATATAATTACATCATATGATGATGATGGTGACATCGTTCTCTTATAAGAGTTTAAAAGAAAACTGAGGGATGACCAATGCTCCCATGTTGGTTCATATATCTCATTCTCACCACATCCACTTCACTTGCTGTCGTCTACTTTTTTTTTTATTCTAAGAAACATCATTCTCAGATGATGGAACTTTTTACTTAGTTCTTTAGCTATTTAAAACAATATTGTTGTTACCAAATTAAAAACAATCAACATTTTATATCCAGAAATCTAAAAATGGTACTTATGATCAATGCCGAGACTTTCACTTATCTCACGCCATGCCTGCACTCTTTTATGCTTTCTTCGATAAAATGAAGAATTAAAATCCCACAGGCATTTGTGTGAGACTGAATAAGCTTGATTAATCTTGATTCTGTTAAACTATCCATCATCTTGCTTTCTACCATTATTTTCTAACTACAATATTTTCAATGTTGCCACTGTATGACGTGGAAAATCAATGTTTTCTGATTGAATGCGCACTTGCAGTCAGCATGAGTATAACAAACTTTTTGTTTCTAGTTGAGGTTGCAGTCGCGCTGGTTTTCGAAGGGGGTTTACTAGTTAACGGGAACAGCCATAGTAGTTGCAGTCGCCTGCATGGCTGGAAATCGCATAGTGTGACCAGGGCTTTAAGTGATTTTTATGGAACGATTGAGATGTTATCCTTTACTTTGCTGTTCCAAAGGGCATTACCATCAATGGCAAAGTTTACAAAGACATTCCAAAGAAATATTTATCGCCTTCTATTGCAGAAAAGTAACTTGATGGAAGATGACATTTTCCATCAATTCAAGATAATGTTCTACCACACAAGGCAGGAGTTGTCACAGAATTTCTGATTGAACAGAACATTGAAACCATTAGACACCTTCTGTATTGACCTGATCTTGCTTTTAGTGACTTTTGGTTATTTGACTCATTGAAACTTGGTTTTCAAAGAAGACAATTCTCATGAAGATCAAGTTTGTGTTCTGCCATTTACTAATCCCTAAAACATATACAGTAGAACCCATTTAAGAAGTTCCTGCCTAAGAGGTTTTCCCACATAAGAAGTCCAGTTTCTCTGGTCCTGGTATTTACACCATAAGATGTGAGTTAAAATTTTTCACATAAGTTTCTGCTTAACAAATAAAAAATTTGCCAGGACAATAATGACATTTATAGAAAATATATTTCTTTTTTGACTATAAATACATAGATGAGTCTTTGTCTATGTTCTGTCCCTTCACACACTGTACGAGGCAATAACAAATTCCACTGGCGAAGTCAACCTTTTTATGTATGCTACCATAAAAAGTAGACAAATTATGTAGACAAAGACTCATCTATGTATGCTCTATCATCTAATAACTTCAGCTGTTTATCATATTGTATATCAAATATCTACACCCCTGAGGTGGTCGTTAATTTTGCTGGAGGTCTTAATGTTTTGACCGTATTCCCTATCTGGTGCTGCTCATTAAGTATTGACATATCATATTGACACTAGTCACTTCTTCACCTGCTGTAGTCAGTGTAACATATTCGAATAGTAAGATGCACTATGTTTGTTATATTAACTTGATATTGAAATAAAATTGATTATACAGATAAATTATGTTTTTACAATTCCTACTTAAGAAGTTTTTTAGAGGTCCTTTCAAAAGCTTATTAACAGGGTTCTACTGTACCTGAATAATCCAACAAAACAAATTAAGGCAAGTGGATTGAATGCAGGTAACTGTGCTTAGACGAAAAAAGAGACTTGGTAGAAAAAGTGTGCAAGTCTTAATAGACCTGTGCAAATAAATTATTTTGAGAATTTTCTGTGTTACTTTTGCACTGCATCTCATGCATGTCTATCATTACAAATCATTTATTTAACTTATTTTATCATATTTTTAATGATTTAAAATAATACTTTATAAATATAATTGTTTTTTTTTTAAATACTTTAGGTAATATTCATAAAAATTGCTGATGATGCATTAGAGAGATTGACATATGTTACAGAAGAAGTTATAAAATCATTTGAATCCTGTGATATTGATATTACTGATAAGAAAAAATTTGCTCCCCATCTAACAATTTTAAAATTATCAAAGGACTCTAGATTATGGAAAAAGGTAAAATAATAATGTTTATTAATTCAAATTATAATTATTTATAACTCAGTAATTTTAGTTTTATGTATTGTTTTACGATTGTCTAATTAGTGTTAAAATCAGTAAGAGCATTGCATATTTTATGAATAATTTATAAATATTTTTTGGATAGTTTTACAAAAATAACTAGTATTGTTTACGTCTAAGAAATATAATCCATTATTCACAATCATCAGTTTGAGTGTTTGCATATAAGTAACTATTAAAACTAATCATAATCAGTATATTACATATAAAGCATACACTAAATATAATTTTAAATAGTAGGAAAATGTAAATGCTTGTTATAGATCTGCTCAAATCTTGAGCAAAGATTTATAAAAAATGCAACAAATGTAGAAAGCACAGCCAGAGCAATTTACCAAATTATTTTAATGCCAGTAATACTAAGAAACAAATATACATTTCATTTGTGGTTGCTAAAATTGGAAAGTTAAGGCATTCTCAGTTTTGTTACTTGCAGAGAGGACTGTTTCAAAATATCATAGGATGGTTTTTTATTAAGTTTATGATCATTTGCAGGGGAGTTAGTTTACCCTTTCCCTTTTTTATCACTGAGCACTTTTTTTGATGCCTTTTCCTCTTTTTTTTTTTTTTTGCACTTAAATTGGGTATTTTGTATATTTTCTATATATAAATCTGAAATTAAGTCTGTAAGTAACAATTTCTGTTTTTTGATATTTTAACATCTTTTGATGTAAAATAATAAGGATGATTCTATTCATCACAAAAGTGATGAAGGTATGTGATGTTATGACAGCTTACCAGTTTAAAAAATGTCAAGGATATTAAAGTCAAAACTGAAGGACTAAGTAAATAATTTTAAAGATGAAGGAATTAGAATTACAACCAATGATAGTATTTGAGTTGTGAACTGTGTGATGTTATCATACATTTGGATGAAAAGCATCTCTCTTCATGGGTCAGGCAGCACATTAAACATGCAAAACATATTCCCAACAGTGAAAGAAAAAAAGAATGAAAAGAAGAGTGTGTTTTATTTTGGCATCATTAAATTCTAACAAAATATAATGCAAGCACGAAAAATGTATTTTTACGTAAACTGCCTATAGCTTTAATACAATCATGGATTGCTTTTAATAAGATAAATTACCTAGAATTCACAAACTTCCTAGAAAAGTATACCATGAAATGCTAAGGAAAAGCTATGTGCAGCCTGCATATGAAGGAACTTTCAAAAAGTATAGAAAATAGTAGGAAACAACCCAGTCTTTTTTATTTTGGATAAAATAAGAAAAGTGCTGAACATTCTCACTGATCTAACAGGGGAGCCAGTACAACCCATGCTGTAAAGAGTTTATGAATTAGAAAAGACAAATTCCACAACTGTTATGCAGACTTTCAATGATGTATGTGCCAAATTATAGAACTCTGCTATTCTGTATGAGAAAGTTTGGTTACTTTGTAACAGACCAGGCACCATACATTCTAATTGCATGTTCAAATATAAAATTGATTCATAACTGAACCTGTCTCTTTCAAAAATCTCTTTATCTCAAAATTTATTTTTTTCCCTACATTTTCAGTCTGAATTCAATGTTTTTCATGATTATTTCAAATAATTTTCTCCCAAAACCTCTATATCACAAATTATCAAATTATTGATTGAAGCATTGATTAAAAATTCAAAGGTCAGAGCATTTTGATAGCATAAATTGCAATTGAGAAACATCTTGCAATACAGTACTGTACATAATTTAGTTGCAATTAATGCTACTTTTTTATGATTGACTTGCTTTTTATTGGTTGAAGAAAGTCAGGTATCAGAAACTGTTGACAAACTATTTTTGTTAAGGTATGTCAATAATGTTAGATTTTTACCTAATACAGGTATGTATTGTACTTGCTATTGTATTAATAAAATACAACAGCAAGTACAGTATTGTGAGGATCTGGGCATTGCTTTTCCTTAACTTTTATCAGGAAGCTAAGATATAAGAAACTTTCTTTATTTCCATTTGTTTCCCATGGAATTAGAAAATAGACAAAGACACATTATTTTAATAGTAAATAATCAACTAAGAAATTCATGTTAAAGGGGGGTCTTAGATGCAACAAATCCCTTCCCCCTCTCATTGATCTGAGAAAGTTTCAAAAGTTAAACCATTTTATGATGTTAGTCTGATAACAAGTCAGATTCCCACTGCCCTAGTCAGCTCATTGATGACACATTTGAAGGTGTCGTCACTCTAAAACAATATGTCACCTGATCAAATTTCCACACTTGATGGGGATATAACAGCCACACACCCAATCTTCAGAGCAATCAGTCCCTAAGGAGTATCTTTGGCTCAGTGCCCATTGCAAGTGGCTTCCAGATCGTCTCCTTGGTTCCTCTGGATACCTCCCTACAGATTGCTGATCTGGGAGTGTTTCACCAACGTCCAATGAAACCAGATTGGAAAACTGTGGATCAAAATCCTAAGGTATTATAGTTTGATTTGTAAACTCTCTCTCTCTCTCGTATAAATATATATATTAAACACAACATATTAAAAAATCATTTAACACTGACAGACATTAAACATTTCTTTATTATTATTATTATTATAAGACTAGCTGCAAGGACCCGCTTTGCTGGGTTTTTATTTGTGGGCAAAAAGTAACGAATAGTGAAGATTAAGATAATTACATTATAGCCAATCTTACCCATTTTCACAGAATGCAAGAATTAGGTCCCCTGTTTCCAGACTAATTAGAGAATTTTTACGTCCAGTCAAACAAACTATTTTCAATTTGATCAATTTTCTGGAACGTTTAAAATTGTTCTATAATCTAACCAATTCGAATTCAAAAATTTTAAAAATTGAAATAGAAAATCTTCCACTTTCAACCACTTTCAAGCCCATATCTCCCACACCCTTAAAGCTATCAAGACGCAACCACCATAGTGCACGAATGGAGACT